GGCGGGGCCGAGGGGCCGGCGGGCGGCCAGCGGTACGGGGCGGAGGGAGGCCCTCCTCCACTTGAGGAGAAACGTCGAAAGGCGCACCCGAAATCTTAAATAAATGCTAACCCCGTTTGCGTGCGTGTTTGTCCAGCATGTCTTGTGACCAGACCGAAGGCGTCATCAAGAAAATCATCCGCGAAATCGGGCAAGAATGTGCTGCCCAGGGACAAACTGTTTCTGAAACCTTGGTAGCGTTCATGGTAAGCGCAAATTAAATGTTTAGGGTGGGATTCTTTAATTATTATTTCATCTAGTCACGTTTGTGTTCTGCTGTGATCCATAAAGTATTAAGATAAATATGTATATATGTATAAGAAATACATAATAATATGTATAATAAATATAGCTCAGAAGTTTCAAACCTGGGTGCCCATAGCTCAGCAGTTCAAGCCGATTTTGCAGCTCTCGTGAGGTAGGGGCTTAATTTTACATGTGATGAATAGTTCCCCAAAGTCACTGAGTGACACAGCGCGGACTGAATGACGCGAAGCGAGGACATAAAGCACCCCTTTGGCCTCAAAACCCAACAGACTTCAAATGGCAGCTCCACAGCAGCCTGCCCGGGCTGGGATGGCAAGAACCCAGGCTTTTGGGGATGACTTGAACTTTGAAACTTCTCGGCTTCTGTTAGCCTGCATTGGGAAGTTTTAAAGGGGCGTTTGGTGATACTCCGTATAGGGTCCTAAAAGAACCTGAAAAAGTACTTAATTCCTCTGAGTCACTATGTGAATATAAGGCCCTGAAAAGGCCGCAAGGTACTGAGTCCTGGGAACTCTTTGTGAACTCCAAATGAGAGTTTTCCCTTAGTTTTCTTCTGCAGGCAGATAAACCTTTTTTTTCTTCCTAAAGTGAAAATGACAAGTGTTCCCAAGTTTTAATAACCTTTCTTCCCACTCTTTCATAAATGAACAAAAAGGCATGACACATAGGTGAATGTTTATTGCAGCAGCTATATTTATTCTTTGGCATTTACCTCTTCCCTCTATTGTGATGGATTCTTTTGTTTGTTTCTCCGTTTAGGCTGGGCCAGGTAGTATAAATGAGCTGCATATTTGATGGAGTGGGCTTGGATCCCACTTAACCTGAAAATGAAATTGAATCAATCTCACTGTTGTCCTTGGTAGACAACTATAAGTATCCTAAAAAACGTAATACACTTTGGCATCTCATCTTAGGAGATACGGCACTGCTGCAGAATATAGTCTGAATGCATCTGCAAAGCTGTGTCTGCACAAAGATGGAGCTAGGGTCTTTCTTTATTGATGATATAAGAACAGAATCAGCTCTTGATAAACCTGTATATGAATGTAAGTGGTTCACAGCAGTACTGTTACTCTGCCATATTTTTTCCTAAAAGTGACACCATGCCTTTAAAAAATGCATTGGGATCAAAAGCAATATTAATTGTAAGCATGAAAGATTTCATGGGTAAAATACTTTTGCAAGTGGCTGGCAGGATATCCAGCATGCATACTATTTGCAAACATGCACATATTTCCCTGTATGTAGCATGCTATAATTTTTTTTATCCAAATGGTAAACATTTATATTGATGCATACACCACCAGCTGAGAAATCTATAAACAACCATGATGGATTTTCATAAAATTTTACTTAGAAAAATATTCTCCCAGGAAAATTTTAAAGGAGCTGCATTTAAATGTTTCTCTGCAAAGTTTGCATCATAAATAGACTTTTCTTTCCATTTGTGCCTGAGAACTGAGATTGAAACTGGCAACACATGTGAAATGAAGTAACTTTGTTTCATTATCAAAGACTGAAATGGAAAGAAAGAATAGTAAGGAAATATTGACTGCATCTCAGATTTTTCAGAAAACAAAAGGTTAGTTGCAAAGAGTATGTGTTGAGATGTAAATTAATAGCTTTCTTTTGGCAATCTCTAGGTGAAAGCTGTTGGTTTAGATCCAAGAAATGACTTTAATGTGGATCGAATCCTCACAAAAAAAGATGCGCAAAACCTTATCCAGGTAATTCTGACATGATGTTGAGAGTCGGTACTTAGCTAAGACTATAGCATTATTTGCTATGTATTCCTGTAACTAAAATGCCATTTTATTTTGATATTAACACTTTCAAAACTTTAATGATACTTTATTCTCACGGTTCTGTAGCTGAAGACTGGACTATATGTTTCCTCATGTAAAAAATGGCCTTATACTTCAGCGTGTTCATAGTATGTCGAGAGAAAGGTAGGGAGGGGGCTTTACTGCTGTTATGAAACCTGCAGCGTAGTCACTGTCAGTTCACATGTTTCCCCTGTGGTGAGAAAGAACTCACTTCTCTGCCTCTCTTCTTAGCTCTGTGTTACCAGGCTGCTTGACACAACAAACCCATCCCTGAGCACGATTAAGATGCAAGTTTACTTTGATATGAACTACGCAAACCGAGGTAATTTCAGTATAAATAAATGTTTTCATAGAAGAAGGTGATTCTGAGTTTAGGACTTGATCTCTGTCGGGCTAATAATGGTTCCTGTGAAATGACTGCTGGCAGTAAAGCAAATAAAAAACCCTGGAGAAATGTACTATATGAGTATGCTGTTTCAGTATGGATACAGTAGGGAAAATAATGCACGTTGGATTTGAGAGTACACTCATCTCATCCTGCCTGAGAGATTTACTGAATGTAATGTATTAGATCGCTGGAGAACAATTATGCTTTCAGGTGCAGTGGCTAGATGCCTTCAGCAAGAAAAACTTGCACTGCACCTGCATATCCCAGAACCGCACTTGTGTAGCTGAAAGAGAACTTGATGTTTTATCAATGTCCCTAATTGAGAATAACAATCTTGAACAATCAGTTACAGTGTGGTTTAGTCTCATCAGTGGTAACTTCATACGGTCTGAGAATGGGAATGTGGAAGAAAAATGAGATGGGGAGAATGTCTCTACAGTAACTGTAACTTCAGATCTCAATAGGACAGTGAGGGCTGGCTGGGAGGCAGAAGGCACAGGACAAGAGTTGAGAAAAAATAAACATTTCTGTGTGGGGAGGTCATGAAAATGTTTTCTTGTTAGCATGGATTAAAGCCAAAAATTAGCAAAACTAGAAAGCTGCTCCAAAGCCTTCTGGACTCAGTAAGCTCAGTAAGTCCAGTAAGATTCTAAGATCCTGAGTAGTGTTCAGATTTGTGTATGTAACTTCAGGTGTGTATGAAGTGTGTGTGTGTTATGTCTTACTGCGGTCAGAGGAGTCCAGAGAGCCAGGGACTTGCTGCTTAATTTGGCCTGAATTGTTCCCTGGACTCTATTGACTGATGTTAATTGTGCTAGTTATGTTAATGGCCAACTCCATCGTTGTTGATTGTAATGGTATGGTACCTTCAACATCTCTTCCACATAACTGTGCTTTAGAATCCTTAAGTTGGTGGTCTGACCATGGAAATGAATTGCACCCTCTGTATAAGCCAAATTCCAAATAATTTAGATAGCAGTTTCTAACAATCCTTCTTTTCTAGCTGAATTACTCAGTGAGCAGCACCGTGTTCTGGAGGGAAGGCTAGCTCCTGTGGTCAGAGAGATCACAGACAGTCATCCTCGTGTGCAAGAAGAAATGGAGAATGTGTATCGAAAGATCGTTAGCTACGTCCTGCTGAGCTCTGGCCTGGGATCCCCAACAGATATCGAGGTTGTCAGGGAGGTAACAGGTCAGTAAACTGGCAGCTGTGACATTTGGGCTTTTCTTATTGAAAAATAAAATCGTACCTTCTCTTTGCCAATCTTTAGATACAGATGTGGTAAACTGTGATGAATGCTTATTACCCAAACTGTCACTGCTCAGCCTTGAAGTCTAAATTTGCCGTGGATTTCCTACTTTTTGCTGTTGCTCAGGAGAAGGTGGTTTTGCTTGTTTGATGATTTTCTTTTCTGTTCCCTCGTATTGAGGGTTTTCTCACCCTTTGTAATGCTTCTAGCTGCCCTGCAGAGTGTATTCCCCCAGACAGAAATGATTACTTTCATCTCGCTCAATAAGAAGAACAAAGAGCAACAGCTGAAAAAGCTTGCCATGCTAGTCACAGGAATTCGGTTGTACAACAAGGAATGCCAGAAAGGAGGAAGCAGCATTGATGACTGTAAGTAGACAACTGCATTTGGGCTGTGTAAGTCAAATTAATTCTTCCTGGCCTTCTTCACTGGAACAGCTCCAATAATATCCCATCTCTCTAGATAAACAGCTTTGACTCAGGTCTGTAAACCTGAATGAAAAGTACATATTTGGTATTTAATTACAGGTTTCCATGTAGGCTACTACTTTTTAGCTAAGAGGAAGCTCTTCGTGGTTGAAGTGGTAGGATTATATGTATTAACTTCATGCACTAATTTACCTCATGGTAACTTTTCCCTGATCCCTTGCCATTAAGTGAATTAAATATGTAATGTTTGCCTTTAAAATCACTTAATTAAAATCTTGAAAGGACACTGTCAATCCAATTGCAATTTTCTGTTGCATATGTGTAATGAGAAGTGATAAAAGTTGCTGGGGTATTATCTTTATTCTGATAATTTAGAGTAACCTCCTCAGATTCTTAACATACTGTCCTGGTTTCGGCTGGGATAGAGTTAATTTTCTTCACAATAGCTAGCATAGTGCTGTGTTTTGGATTTAGTACCAGAAGAATGTTGATAACACACTGATGTTTTCAGCTGTTGCCAAGTAGTGCTCAGATTACTCAAGGACTTTTTGAGCTTCTTCTGCTCGTCCAGGTGCATAACAAGCTGGGAGTACAGCACAGCTAGCACAGCTAACCCAAACTGACCAAAGAGCTATTCCATACCATATAACGTCATGCTCGGGGGGGTTAGTTAGTTCGGTCGGTCGTTCGGTTCGGTCGGTCGCGGGCAGAGTGGTCGCAGCTCGGGCTGTGTGATCGCGGCTCGGGACGGGCTGGGCACCGGTCAGCGGGTGGTGAGCAATTGCATTGTGCATCACTTGTTTTATATATATTCTGTATATTCTCTTACTATTATTATTATTATTACTACTATTGTTATTCTTCTCTCTTATTAAACTGTCTCTATCTCAACCCACGGGTCTTACTTTTTTTTCTTTTCTCCTATTCTCTCCCCCATCCCACAGAGGGAGGGGGGGAGTGAGCGAGCGGCTGCGTGGGGCTGAGTTGCCAGCCGGGTTAAACCACGACACGTTCTCAAAAATCTTAGGCATTTTAAATCCTTGTCAGTGGAAATGTTTTTGTGAATATGCGTGTAGTATTGTAGCTCAGTGTGGAGACTTCTTTGTAAGAAAGGTCTGCAGCCCAGTTTTAGAGGAAACAAAGTGAAAATTGTGCAGGTTGCCTAAAGTCTCTCAGGAAACCTGTGACAGTAGTATCAACTGAACTGCATCTACTACAAAGCAGGTTTTCTCACAGTCCTTGAGCTGACTGTGATATTTCCACAACCTGTAATTCTGACTATTTGGAACCACTTGACTAGTAAGATACAACGGTTGAATCTAGTATGCAAGCATTTGGACATGCATGAATATAAGGGCAAAATTCAGAAATTTTATTGTAAGTCTACTTTGCTCAAATACTGCGCTGAAATCTTTTGCTAATGATTTAAATAATTCTTTTTATGTGTATCTCGTACTTATTCTATATAAACAGTGCCAGCCATTCTGAACGAAGCCATTCCGTCAGCTACACGGACTGTCGATGAAGGTCTTAGCACTTGCCATACACTAGCCTACCAGTACACAGCTCTGTTGGAATCCATGCAGGAAGACCAACACAGATATACACAGCTTAGTTCTTTTAAATTAAAAGAAGCACTGTTCAATGTGAGACAATATGAGGCCTTCCTTTGCATCCTTCTGGTGAGATAGATACCATCATGTTATATCCTGTGGGTTTTTATTGCAGATGGAATGCATTCAAGTTACCTGTTTGTACAGGACAGAAATATAAGAAAAATTATTTAGAAATAAATGAAACAAAATTTATCTCAATATATGAGAACCTACACCATCTGTCATGCTGAACTTTGTACCTAACTTGCTGGATTTGGCTACTGTCAGGTAAAACACAAAATTAATTAATTGTTTGCTGCAGTGTGACTGTGCTTCCATTTCATTTCTGGAGGTTTGCTTTTTTGGTTTAATTCCATTAACAAAGGACTAAAAAACTAGGACTTTTTTCTGTTTGCATATTGACAGTCACTCTGCCCCAAAAGGCGTGAGAGAAAAAACCTTGTTTGATCCATAAATCACTTCAATTTCAATCTGCAGACATCCCCAACACGTATGGAGTAATCAGAAGTCTTTGAAGAATACAATTTCAATTCTTGAAACATGTTTTGTTTACGAAGACCTTTTTTCATTTGTCTTTTGAGAAACTGCAGGGGTTTATTAGTTTTTCCTGTATATCATAAAGCTTGGAAAAGTATTTCTCTTATAATGTTTTCAATTCTCTTCATTATAAAAATGTAGAGGTTTCCTATAAATATTACTAGTGTATGTTTGAGAGAAGCAGCTGGTTTTATACCTGAACACTTACAGACAAATTCATGTGGCGGAAAGTTAGAGTGCATTTTGTTCCTTAAAACAGTTGTCTGAAAATAGTTGAATTAAGAGATCCAAGAAGTAAGTACTTATTACTAAATACTTGATTTTTTGACTGTAATTCTTCTTACCTGAAATAAGTTCTCTTTCCAGTCTGATGCAATTACAAGTGCTCAAGAAGTCGAAAAGATGAATGTGCAGTTTACAGCAACAATGGAGCAGCTGAAAAACACAGTGCAGAACAAGGTTTCCGTAGATACCAAAGAAGTTTTTGTAAGTATTTTGAATGGAAAACCTGTTTCTTCATATGATAAAAAAATTACTGAAGTACTACAAAATACTATACCAGTCTATTTTTACATAGTTTGTGTTAAGAAAAAGGCTGCGTTATTTTCTCCGTATTATAACAGCATCTGTGATTTTTGAAGGGGCAATTGAACTAAAAGATTTGCTCTCTAGGTGAAAGAAAAGCAAGGTACAATGAGGGGGAGAAATAATTAAATGGTATTTTACCTTGTGTCTTGAGTCATTTGTCAGTATTTGTAGACTTTTAGTGATATTTTCCTGGTTTGTGTAAATATTCTCCCGTTCCATGCAGAAACAGTAAGAACACAATGATGACAGATAACAGCACATCAGAGCATGATTCTTTTAAAGTCCTTTCAGATAGCAATTCCTGTAATTACAGTATGACTCCTTCATATCATTTTTCTAAAGAGATCAGGTTTCTGGGATGGGAGTTTCAGCCTCTTTGCCCCTCCCAGCAGCTTCTGCACCTGTTGGCCAGTTTCAGTCAAATTTCTCAGAGTCTGGAGATCTCAAAATCGTCGTTTTCTGCAAGTTTTGCGAAAAGCAAGCAACTAGAGAGACACAATTAGAGCCCTCCTAAGATCAAGTCTGAGATGGGAATGCCACAATTACCTGCTGGTTTGTGTGCAGTCTGGCCAGTGAGCAGCCACGTACCCCTGCACGACCCATGTTCTGTACTGTTTCACCCTTAGTGGGGAGCTACAGGGCATGGGAGGGAGGTGTTGGAGGAAGAGGGAATGTGTGATGCCAACTTCCGGTATTGTGAAGGAGAGTGCTTGATGACCCTGTGAAAACCTGGGATTATGATGATGGCATGGTGTAAAGGAAACAGGAGCGAAATATGTCAGAAACCAGCTTCATTGCATTTGCTTTTCATGGAAGAGCTCATTATTTTGTGTGATATGTCTATCATTTTAACTCCCTGTAGTTAGCTGCTGAACTAGCATGCAGTTCATACATATGTTAGGTTATATCTCATCCTTCCAAACAAATAATTAGAAAGCAGAATAAAGTCTACTGTGGAGGAGAGAGGAAGATCATGCCCCCACCACCTACTCAGAGTACTTTTTACACTTCCCTTAATGGCACCCGAGCCGGAAACTCATGGGGATGGCACTTTATCTGAGGTACATCTCAGATGTGATCTGAGGCTTCGGTTTATGTGTGCTAGTGATTTTATAAGCCAGACGTTCTCATTTGGAGAACATTTTCCCCTCTCGTCCAGCTGCTCAAAGCAGTTTTTTCTCTTCTGCATCTTTGAGGGGCTTAAGTGTCTGATACACATTACCCTTTTCCCTAGAAGCTGTCTGCTGTTGTCTGCTTCCTTCCTAGATTTTCTTTTCTCTTCAGGATGGTTAGTTGTTTTTTCTTCTCTGCTCAAGACAGAACATGTAATGTCTTTTGATTTAGGTCTTTTGCAGGCAGAGATTTCTCTACTAACACACCATTTAAATAATTCTTGTCTTCAGCTAGTTGCTGAGAAGCTGGATCCTCTACAAATGTAGGGCATTCTGCCTTTTAAAACCTGTAGGATAAGGCCTATATTTGTAGTAAACATTTGTTTTAGGAAACATAGTAGAATTCATTCATATTCTTTGTTTATTCTAGTAAGATCTATTTTGATCGTGCTGCCCTTCCTTTAGCTTTTTCAGTTTTTGTAACCATAACCTTTCCACAGCGTTAGTGATGCAGGTGAATTCCAGAGATGACTCTGTTAGCTGTTCTTATAATAATGTTGTTAACATGCATAAAATATAATGTTGTTAGCATGCCTTTCAGATTTGTTGAATCTCTTCTTTTAAATGCTCTGTGTGTTTAGATGTAACATTAGTGCACATTTTAGGTCACTGTCAGTGAATCAGCATTTATACTCAAAGCTCATAGGCTGCTTCTGTATGTGTGTACACCTGTATGCCTGTATTACTGCTGGAAACGGCAGCTTCCAGTTTTATCTTGAACCCCGTGCCACTCTGAAGGGCTTGCACACCATTAATTTGACATATATGATGGCTTGGGGGCTGTGGTGCTAAGTCACTCTGGAAGCAGGGCAGACAAAATAACAAAGTCTGGTAGGTTGTATATTTGGGTGTGGATTTAATTCATTTGGTGGTTAACCAGGTGCATTTCTTCTGGTCCTTCTTATTCCTGTACACTGTATTTTCAGTTATAAAACTGTATCGTCAGTGAAGCGTTCAGTTCCAAGCATGATCTCAGAGTAATGTGTTTGGGAAAAGCTTTGGAATAAAATGTAGAAAAGTACCATTCTGGCCTATGGGCATACATGCTGGATGTACCTGCATTGGGCTTGTGTGATGGGAGCTCCTCTTACAGTGCCCAGGGGTTCCCCTGGAATTTCTGGATGCTGAAGGTCTTGGAGATCAGCCCCGCTTTGTTCATAGCAGGGATTCTTGTGCACAGCACTTGGGTTACGCTGCAGACATAAAACAAATCTGGGTTTCAGATAATTTTTTTTTTTATTTTCTAGCCTCTCTTTCTTGCACTTTCTAACCTCTGGAGCGGATTTCAGGATGAGATGCTACTCCTAAGCTTCCTCAGAAATATGACTAACAGTCTCCAGCAGTTCTCAGAAATCCAATCACAGCTTTTTCCTGAGGAAGTGCTAACTTCTCTTCTGGAAGGAGTGACTGTGAAAAGTGATGAGGAAAGGATAAGAGAAACCATGGGTACTGAAATTATGACTTTTTTGTTTTCCTTAATTTTCTGAGATTTTGTGGTTTGTATTTTATTTACAGAAGGTGCCATGCATTGATCTATTAATAATCAAAATTTGCGCAGTAAATGAAAACGAGTCTTGTAGTGTGTGGATTTATTTTTCATGTAGTGTAGTCTGGGCTTTTATTTTTATATATAAAATTACAATATAGCTACTAGATACAAACATACCTTACGAAAATGGCATAATGATCAGAGAATAATATTTCTACATTTTTTTGACATTTCTTAAGTTTGTTTATGTCTTTTCATACCTTTCAGAACTTCTGAAATGGAGGGGGGGAATAAAAAAGCTAATTTAATGGAGCTTTGATTACCAGAAGTGTTTGTTTGTAAGCTGGTATCCCTAGTAACCAAATTGTACTCCAGGGGATTTGTAATGCATGAATGAATGAAAACAAAACAGAGTAAGATATTACCTTCCTGTTGCCATCCCCTGTTTCCAAAGATAACTAATGCTACCGAAGAAGGCTCCTGCAGGACTAATTTTCAGTAGCATCTCTCTTCAGGCAGGGCTAAAGTTGTGCTTTTGGGATCTTGGCACTGCAAGTTATCCTGTGAAGACCGCAGTAATCTGGTCATTCTGTAACGTTACTGTATTTTAAACATCTGATGTTTTGTTACTGAAATTCTCCCTTCGTTAAACCTTTTCTTAGGAACCAGAGTGAATGTTTCTGATTTCCAGAACCAAGAATGGCTTTTTCCAGAGACTACTGCTAATTTTGACCAGTTGCTAATCCAGTACCACGGTTTCTGTGCACATGCAATTGGTGTGAAAGGCCTCACCCTCCCAGGTATGCTTTGTAGTTAGGTCTTTTCCATACTTTATATGTACACAAGTACTAGTGAAAACGTAAAGACATGTTCTGAATGCATCCTCTTATGTCAAAGCTCGAGTACTGTATTTTCATGTTTGTAATTTTCACCCCAGATAACTCATTTCCCCTGTTAAAGTATTTTTCTTTTAAAAATACACAAACAAACTGCCCTAAATAGAAGGTAGGAGGGTTTTGAGAGAAAGTAGGCATGAGCAAGCAGAGGCAGAAACAAGATGCGATGCATAAATGTTTTCTCCTGCTCTATGTGCATTTGTAGAACCAATACTGTAGCTGAATGCAGGTTTATTGTTGTTAATGTGTTTTGATACAGGATTAGGAAAATGGTCATTCCTTCTATTTTGTCTGTCTGTTGCAAACAGACCCATTCATGCCTACATCATATGTATTTTTAAACAGTGGATAAGAAGTACAAAAAATCTCTGAAAAGAATGCAAAAGTGCACTTGATTAAGTCAACTACTCATAGGAATTTTTTTTTTAATCTTCTAGGGTCATTTGACTTGAAAGAAAGCCTTATGTCAGCTACCCCATCAGTTCATGTTTTCTGTCTCCCTATCCTTGATAGAACCTACCCATATAGAACTTTTTTAAACTTACAGAAGGTTGGGAGGAAAACACTGCCATTTCTTGGCAGTATTAAAATATAGCTATTTTAATGGCGATGTAAATTACTTATGCTTATGTAGTATTGCATATGAGAACAGCTGTCCTGGGTTGGATTGAAGGTCTCTCTCATCCTGTATCCAATTTCTGGATGTGGTCAGTCATGAACACTTGAAGATTATGAGAAATCAAGTAGGAATGATCCTTCCTTAATTATATCCTTCCCTGTTCTAGCATTCCGTGGTTATGGGATTTCCTCAGATAAATATTGTGCCTGTACCTTTCTGTTGAATAATCCTTGATAGAGGTTTTTCATTTATGTAATTGCTCTTTGAATCCATTTAGAGTTTGCCATGGGATATTCTTATTGTCAGAGAGTCCCACAATTATATATACTATGAAAAGGTACCTCTTTTTGAGATGGCTTTAAGCTGCGGCTCAGTAATTTCATCAAAGACCTGATAGTCTTTCTATTAGGAAAATTAGCAAATAGTAATTTTATATTGCACGCTTTTAATGGTTTTATAACTCCATAGCATATCATTTCTCTTCAGTTGCTTCTTTTTAATGCTGAAAAGTTCTCTTTCTTTAACCCCTCCTTCTGTGAAAGGTATTCCAAGCCTCTGATCACTCCCAACTCCTTTCATTTTCCTTTTTCTTACTCTGTTGTGTTGGAACAAAATGTAGTATTGCAAAAGTAGCATATAGGTTGTTATAATGTTTTTTTTTTCTCCCCTTCTGTTTGCATCCTAATAATTCCTGACATTCTTTTTGGTTTTTTGATTGCCACTGAGTAGTGTGATTTAGCACTTTCAAAGTACTCTCTGTGATGATTCTAGGTCTTTCCTGGGCAATGACAGCTGAAGCAGAGCCTGCCACTGTCCTTGAGCTCAATTTGTGTTTTCCTATGTAATTTATTTGGACTTCATTGTCATTTTCTCTGTTATTTTATTGTCCAGCTTGTCAGCTGATTCATCTGCTTCTTCAGTTAATTTCAGTGTTAAGCCCTTCTGTATAAATGGACTGCTGCTCTGCATATTTGCTGGAGATTGTAGGGGAAACATTTGTGGGTATGGGCAATGTTTTCTTATGCTTTTGCTATAGGTGTTTTATCTGCTGTTTTTCTGACAGATGTGCTCAGGCATGCTGCATGTGAACTGATCAAAAGCAGTTGTACAAACCAGACTTTTCTATATTTAAAAAGCTCACTTTCGGGATTTATTCTGATTTCAGAAAAAAGGAAGTGAAACTGACAAGGGAAACACAGAATCCTGATTACAAATGTCTTTTGTATTGGATATCATACTGTTCACTATTTTATTTTGTGGGGTTTGGTTTGGGTTTTTTTAGGAAATCCTGCTATTGGAATTTTGAAGCACAAGGAGAGATGTTATGTTTTCAGTTCCAAGGAAGCTGCATACATCTTTGCTCAAGATCCAGATAAGTTCATTCAACTGAATATAGAAAAAGCAAAAGAACATGCAGAGCTCATTCAACTGCTCGAGCTCCATCATCAGTTTGAATACCTTGCTCCATATGCACAGGTACACATTGCCCATGCCTCTTGCTGAACAGCTGTTGGGTCACTGGCTGGTCTGTCCTTTCTAGAACATAAAGAGAACAGATGATACCCATATTTATGGGCATGATAATCATCTGCCTGTCATAAGAATGTCTGAAGGTCCATCATTTCCAGGTTTTCAGGGTGTTGATAAGAAACATTGTCCTTTAATGTTGTTCTTACCTTCTCTCTTCCTAGGGGAATATGTAGAGCCAAAGGATTGTGGCAGCGATAAAAGCTGTTCATCCTTAGCCTAGGAAGATCCCGTGTCTGATGTTTCTTTCCCTCTTTTTTGCAGAAGTAGTTTAAAGGACAGTAGATAAATGCAATAGAAGATAAGCCAGATACACATTAACTTTAGGCCCAGGATCAAAGGGAACCAGTATCCCCCAGTCATCAGGATGAAGGAAGGGCTCGATGGAGAGCAGAATGGAAAGTACTTACCTGCAGGAGCAGCCACCAAAAAAGGCCCAGGATCAAAGGGAACCAGTATCCCCCAGTCATCAGGATGAAGGAAGGGCCTCGATGGAGAGCAGTGAATGGAAAGTGGTCTGTAGTCGGGGCAGGAGGAGAACCCTTTCTGCACCCACCGCTTCTCCCCAGGTGCCTCTGAGTAACAGGTATGAGGCTCTAGAGGTGGAAGAGAAGGCAGTGGATGGGGTAGGTGTTGACCTATCCACATCACGGGAGGCACAAAGATCAGAAAAACCCCCCCGTCGCATCACTACTGCATCCACAAGGAAGAAGAGGAGGGTGATAGTAATAGGAGATTCCCATTTGAGGGGAACAGAAGGACCGATATGCCGGGCGGACCCTGCTCATAGGGAGGTCTGCTGCCTCCCAGGAGCCCAGATTAGAGATGTCACTAGGAAGCTTCCTAACCTGGTCCGACCCTCGGACTACTATCCCTTACTGCTCTTCCACGTGGGTGCAGATGAAGTTGCAGTAAGTAGCCCGAGGGTGATGAAAAAAGAATTCAAAGCCTTGGGGCGGTTAGTGAAGGGATCTGGAGCGCAGGTCATCTTCTCCTCGCTCCTTCCAGTTGTGGGAAGAGACACTGGGCAGTACAGGAGAACTCAGTCTATTAACACGTGGCTTCGCGACTGGTGTCGCCGCCACAACTTTGGGTTCGTTGACCACGGGATGGTCTACACGGCACCGGGAATGCTGGCATCAAATGGGAGCCAGCTTTCTCAAAGGGGGAAGAGGGTCTTTGCCCAGGAGCTTGCAGGGCTCATTGACAGGGCTTTAAACTAGATGTGAAGGGGGAAGGGGAACCTATCGGGCTTGCCAGCGACAGGCCAGGGGTTGATATGCAAGGGTTAGAGGGACTGGGGGCTAGTATGAGCCCTCAACCTGTTGCCCAGCAGTGTGCCAGGGGTGCTGCAGCAAGGTTGAAGTCTGGCGGAGGTGAGCCGGAGGCTCCTGAGGTAATAGGAGCCAACAAGGAAAAGCCCATGAAACACCTCAAAGGAAACAAGGAGTGTACTGCTATGAAGGTGATGAGGCCGACAGCTCAGATGAGATGCCTCTATACAAACGCACGCAGCATGGGAAACAAACAAGAGGAGTTGGAAGCAATCATGCTGCTAGAAAGCTACGACCTGGTTGCCATTACAGAAACCTGGTGGGATGAATCCCATGACTGGAATGTAGCTATTGATGGCTACAGGCTGTTCAGAAGGGACAGGCGAGGAAGGAGGGGCGGGGGCGTTGCCCTTTACATCAAGAAATCATTACAGTGTGAAGAGCTGTCCCTGAAGAATAGCCACGAGCAGGTCGAAAGCTTATGGGTAAGAATCAGAGAGAGAGGCAACAAAGGGAACCTGGTGGTTGGTGTCTACTACAGGCCGCCAGATCAAGAGGAGCTGACTGACGAAGCATTCTTCCTCCAACTCCGGGAGGCTTCGCGCTCGCAGGCCCTCGTCCTGCTGGGGGACTTCAACCACCCCGACATCTGCTGGAAAACCAACACGGCAAGATGTAGGCCATCCAGCAGGTTTCTCGAATGCATTGAGGACAACTTCTTAAGCCAGGTAATAGACACCCCTACCCGAGGGGATGCGATACTGGACCTGGTGGTCACCAATGCAAGCGAGCTCGTCGGAGATGTCCAGATCGGAGGCAGCCTGGGCTGCAGTGATCACGCGCTGGTAGAGCTCACGCTCCTGAGGGAAATGGGAAGGACAAAGAGTATAGTCAGGACCCTGAATTTTAGAAAAGCCAACTTCCAGCTCCTCAAGGAGATAGTCAGTAGGACTCCCTGGGAAACGGCCCTCAGGGACAGGGGAGCAGAACAGAGCTGGCAGATCTTTAAGGAAGTGGTCCACAGAGCGCAGGAGCTATCGATCCCTAGGTGTAAGAAATCAAGCAAAGAAGGGAAGAGACCAGCGTGGTTGAGACAGGAGATGCTGGTCAAGCTAAGGAGGAAGAGGGAACTGCACAGGCAGTGGAAGCAGGGACAGGCATCCTGGGAAGAGTATAGGGAAGTGGTCCGGTTGTGTAGGAATGGGGTCAGGGAGGCGAAGGCGCAGCTGGAGCTTAACTTGGCTAGGGATGCAAAGAATAATAAAAAGGGATTCTACAGGTATATCAGCCGGAAAAGGAAGGTTAAAGAGAGTGTACCCCCGCTGATAAGCGAGACCGGCAGGCTGGTAACAGCAGATGAGGAGAAGGCTGAGGTACTCAACAACTTTTTTGCCTCAGTCTTCACTGGCAACCTCTCTCCTCACCCCTCCCAAGTCGATGGATGGCATGAGGGGGACCGGGAGGGCGAAACCCCTCCTGCTGTAGGAGAAGACCAGGTTCGT